GTGGTGCTGACAATACCAAGTCAAGGGTTAAGATGCCCTTACTGGTCATCTTTAAAAAAAAAAAAAAAGAAAAAAGAAAGAACATTCAAAAACATTCAACATCTTTTTACAATGAAAATTCTCAAAAAACTAGAGATAGTAAGAAACTTCCTCAACTGATAAAGGGATTCTATGAAAAATCCACAGTTAACATTAAGCTTAATAATGGAAGACTAGGGGCTGGCTGGTTAGCTAGGTTGGTTAGAGCACAGCCTGGTAACACCAAGGTCAAGAGTTTGGATCCCTGTACTGGCCAGCCACTAAATAATAATAATAATAATAGAAGACTGATTTGTTTTCTCATAAGATCTAGAATAAGGTAAAATGTCCAATTCTGCTTACTTTCAACATTGTTCCAGATAACTGAAGCATTGTAATAAAGCAAAATAAAATCAAAGGCATAAATATTGAAAAGGAATAATTAAAACTATTTTTATTTGCAGATGATGTGTCTGTCTATTTAGAATATATCAGGAAATCTCCAAAATAATTTACCAGAAGGAATAAGTAAATTTAGCAAGGGTAAAAAAATACAAGGTTAATAAACAAAAACTCAGTTGTATTCATATATATAAGCAGTCAAAAACTGGAAAATAAAATTAGAAAAAGAATTCCAATTGAGAGGTACAAAAATGTGAAATATTTAGTAATAAAACTAGTAAAAGAGGCCTAATACCTCTATACTGAAAATTATAGAACATTGCTGAAAGAAACGGAAGAAGACCAAATAAATGCAGAAATACACATTGTTTATGGATTGCAAGAATCAATAATATTAAGATGGTAATTATTTCTAAATCAATTCATAATTGAGCCCAATTCCAATCAGATTCCAATCAGGTTTTTCTTTTGGTAGAAACTGACAAGCATAACTCTAAAATTTATAGAAAAATACACATAACCTAGAATAACTAAAGCAATTTAAAAAGTTATGAACAAAGTTTAAGGATACTCTTATATTACCTGATTTTAAGGTATAAACCTAAAATAATCAATACAGTTTAGTATTGGCAAATAGACTGACAGATTGATTGACTTATTCATCATAGAGGT